CCAATTCCACACCGCTTGGCTCGTCCACTGTCCAGGGAGTCCTGCACCTAGGTCCTGAACATTCAGAGTTCCACCAAAACCCATGTCTGCCGCATCTGTATGCATAGCGGCTATGGGGGAGCTGGTCGCATTGGCCGTCCAGTCAACTCTTTTTGTGTCATCTGGTGCCAGAACGTGATGTCTCGAACACTCTGGTGACTCAACCTGCGTCGCTGACTTCCATCCGATGAGCGTTTCCCTGATATATCCCAGTAGAACGAGCGGGTAAAGAACCGAGACCAAGGCAAAGCCAGAGACAGGGATACACAAACGCCGCAAAAGTGGGCGAGCCTTCGTCGGCTGACCCATCTTCTGCCATTTCTTACCTCCTTTAGCAATTGCCCTGCTAGTTTCTAGATCTTCTGAACCTTTCGGGCCGCAACTCTGAAGCGTATTGCGACGCTGTCCACTATGATTCCCAAATGCTCGACTACTTGAGCTCCCTTCTATTCCCCTTTCGTGGGATGCCTCATAAGTCCCAGTCGGTCCATCAACCTCTCGATCCTCACAGCAGCCTCGGTGCAGCTCTGAAGTGTGGCGGGTAGACCATAGCGACTGGGTGCCACAAGGAAGTCGTCCAGATAACATAGGACCCGGTAGTTCATCTCCCTTAGTGCTCGTACGAAAGGTGCCATGAATGTAGTAAACCAGAGTGGCGACCTCCCCCAACCGAAGAGGAGTGCTATACATTGATAGTACTTTCCGTTGTAGGTGAAAATGAACCAGTCTCTCATAGCGGGTGCGAGACGAAAGTGGCGATATCTGCTCTTGATGTCGAACGATAGAAAATGGTCTCCTTGAACGACGCTCATCGCGAACTCGGAAATGGACTCCATCTTCACGCACCCCTTGCGCCAATGCTTGGACTGCATGCAAAGGTTGATAATGAAGTGAGGCTTCACCCCTTCGGATCCTTGCTGCCATACTGCAAAGAAGGACGAGATGATTGCCCCTCGTTTCATAGCTCTGGATGCGTGACCGGGAGTCACTTCCTGGTATATGCCTGCTCGACAGCCTGTATCTAGATTTGTAGCTGCAAATTGGTGGTCCTCTTCGGACTGGGGCAATTCGCCCAATTGTTCCCCTGTTCCAGGAGAGAATGAGACCTGCGGTTTCTCGTAGATCCCATATTGGATTGACCAGCAAAGGTAGTCGGAGCAACCCATGGCACGCCACGCTTCGACATTTTTCTGTGTCCTCTTCCAAAGCGGGTGAACCATTCCAATTGTGACTAATTATGATCGGCGTTGCTCCGCTGACCAGCCCGCTTCGTCGCGTTACTAGCACTTAGGGTAGCAATCGCCTTCATTAGTTGTGTGCTCATATGACTGTCTAGCTTCTCCATCTCATCGATGATGTTATCGGCAGCGACTAGGCTGTTCTTGTTTTCCAGTTTAGCCACGACGAGCTTTATGTAGGTCGGATCTTCTGCAGCCAGCTTTTAGAACTCAGCGCGGAGACCGACAACTCGGAGACCATATCGTACCGAAATCTTCTCCCAGGCATCGAACTTGACGGCTTCATCATCACGCTTCTCGGCAAGCGCTTCTTGACGAAGGGCAAAAGCGGCTTGATGGAAAGTCATCCAGTATCCAGCCGCATTTACGTAGTTAGCCTCGTATTCACAGGCGGACCTCATACTGTTGTGTTTCTCCATTTCCTTCCGCAGCGGCCACCGACGGTGAGGAAAGAAACCACCATCGAATGCCTGAACAGAAGGGCCTGCCTCGTAAGGGTACCTAGAGATCCCTGATTCCTTATCATCTCGACAGCGTCTGGCTATAGCACCGTAAGTGCTGAGCCAGATCGGATCGATCCCAGCGGCGGTTATGGTCTCGCCTTTCGCTACCTTTTTAGCCTTGGCGAGAAAGTCTTCTATTTCGTAGGCACATGCTGTAAAGGCTGCCATTGTTGGAACACGGATCCTTCCGTGTTTTGGTCCTTTCTTTTAGACCGCTCTGAAACGTGCCTTCCGCCAGCAAACTCTGGGGGGACTCTCTTCGGGAAGAGAGAGGCATGACTTCCACGTTCCAACTCCTGGAACGCCTGTCTCTTTTGTAGTGTCAGTAGCGAAGCGTTCCAGGGCGTGTCGGAGCATTTCAATAATCAATCCAAAATGTTGAATTTGGATTCGTACGCGTCGTGCATTCCAACCGTTGTCGGAACCTTGCTATCTATGGTTTGAACGTTTCATCTGCATAAACCATGACTGGCCTACACTTGACATTATTACACATGCCGCTCGAAGATGGTTTAAACATGCTCCTTTTCCAGACATATCTAAAAATGACCAAGAATAGCACGCACTTCTTACAAATTTCTCTCTGGCCCCAAAGCAGAAGTCAATTACGGTGGCGGAGGTATCTTTTTCCTTCTTGTCGAGAAAGCGCAAGTCAAGAAAAAAGTAAGTCGAAAAGTGCCCTCATATGAGAACAATGGTCCGATAGATACTAGTTGTTTCCCTCGTTCCCTTCCCTAGTTGCCAATGAGAAACCCCGCCAATGTGACGAACACCCCATTAACTCCTCCATTCATCACGCAGGCCTGGGGACAGTTTCTGCTTTCATTCCGCTTGGAAGAACATGCCGTGCTTTTACCAACCAGGAACCAACTGATCTCAACTCTTTCCGTAAGCATGAGATATTTATCTCGGCAAATCACCAGGCCGAGAAGGTATTGGTGTAATATATCGTGCATGTAGACAGGGCTAGGAGGAATACTGTACCGTAGTTACTGTACAGGGAAGGCAAAAGGAACGAAACCAACATGCGAATATGATGTTTGGCTGAACAGCAGCCACGAAAGAGGCAACGCAAGGGCGAAAAATTCACGGTACATCATCATTTCGCCAGTTCAGAAGAAGCTCGCACTTCGGCAGTCTGGGGCTGTGTGCGATTTGCAACAGGCATACATTACAGGTTGACTGTCAAACCCGTTTTCACAAGAGCATGGAGAAAAGACAACTCGCGAAACGGCATTGCTCGAAAAGCAGTATGCTTGCTTGACAGCCCAAGAGTACAGTGCCGGCAAGGCACCGTGGTTTATGCCGTAGAGGACTACTACTCAGCTCCAGAGCAGGGGCACTCCCCCTTCTAGAAGGCCTTGGAAATGGTGGCCGTCACGTTCACTGCGTTCCCGCTTCGAAAAAAGAACGGTATGGAAGATGTGCAGGTGTTGCTTGAATCCTTTCGCCTGCGGCTGTGGCGCCCACAGTCAAGGGGGGTAACCGGAAACCAGTTTGACCAGATTGTAATAAGCGGATACGTTCCCAGTAGAGGAGAGGAGTTGAGCGCTTCGAAACAGGCCAAAAGCTCGAAGGGCACGGTATTGTTCCTCTTGTACAAAAGTAGTTCCGCGTACCGCACTCCAACGTTCAGGGGCCTTATGTCGCACACATAGTAGTGTATATCAGTACACCTGCAAAGAGTCTGATCGAACCATACGTTTCTCTCTTTCCTACGCAACGCGCTCGCCCTCTTCCAGCTCCGGCACACCCTCCCCTCCTAGACAATACCCTGCAATACTTTCCCGCACAGCAGTCCCCACGCCTTCGTCTCCTAGATCGTAGCCTCCCTCTAGCCCGAAGATAATCTTGGTCTCTTGCCCAACCGCTCTGAGCAAAAGCTGTGTAAAAACGCGATAATCTGCGGGCTTGAACGCCAAAGACGCCAGCGGGTCGTCATCCAGGGCGTCAAAGCCAGCTGACACGATGACTAAGTCGGGCATGCCGGTGTCGGACTCGAACAAAAACGGAAGCATCTCGTTCTCGAACCTGTCCTTGTACACATCCAAGCCTGTGCCGTGCTTTAAATTTACATTGAGCACGTTGTCGAACCTCCCCGTGGTACCCTCCTCCCCCGAACCCGGGTACAGCGGCCATTCGTGGGAAGAGGCGAAGCGAATGTGCTGCTCGTTCTTGATGCAGGCCTCGGTGCCGTTGCCATGATGGACGTCGTAGTCTAGGATGGCGACAGAGGAGACATCAGGATGGTTGAGCGCGTACTTAGCGGCGATGGCGGCGTTGGAGAACACGCAGAAGCCGCTGCCAGAGGCCGGCGTCGCGTGGTGGCCGGGCGGGCGGGTGAGGGCCCAGGCGACCTTTGCAGTGCCGTTGAGCACGGTGTCAGCGGCCTCCATCCACGCGGAAGCTGCGAGGACGGCGACTTGGTAGGTATTGGGGGAGATGTAGGTGTCAGGGTCGAGTGCTCCGCCGCCTCGCTTTGTAATTCGTTCAAGCTCTTCAAAGTAGCCAGGGAAGGTGTGGATTTCCTTGATGGCGGCCATGACTGCTTCGTGGCGGTCGAGGTTGTCGGGGCCGGAGACGGGGAGCGGCGTGCGCCAGTCGATGAGGGGGGCGAGCTCGGGGGAGGCTTTGAGGGCGGAGACGCAGGCGTCGAGACGGGCGGGGCATTCGGCGTGGCGGGTGTTCGGCGGAGGCCGGTGCTTCTTGAAGACGGGGCTGTAGAAGACGGGAATACGGCG